CTCGCCCCGCTGCCCACGCTGCGGGGGATGCAGCCCAGGAGACGCTTGGCTTTCTGGGCCGCCGGCGCACATTGCCGGCTTGTGGCCAGCTTTCCATCCCCCAGCACCCCCAAGTCCTTCTCGGCAGAACTGGGAAGAAGATGGGAACTGGGAACTCACAGACCCCCCAGCACAGCTTCCACAGCCAGAGCCACCCCAGCAAATCACCAGACGATCAATTTATAAGCACTCGGGGGATAATAAGGTGAGCCAAAGCAGCCAGGGTGGCTTTGCCAAGCCCAAGTGCTGTCACGCCAACCTAATTTCCTTCCCCAAGAGGTTCCTTGGCCATGGGGATGGGGAAACGGCGGCGGCTGTCCTGACCCTCTGCTCAGTGGGGCTGCCGGCCTCAGCTCCTGCCGTGGTTTCCAGCACGGGAAGCAGGTGCAGATGGTGCTGGCACCCACGATCCGGGGTGCCAGGCTGCGGTGCAAGGCTGCTCCCAAAAAGCTACCTCTCATTTTGGGTGCCTTCCCACCACTGCAAAAGTTTCCCCTGGGAAAATACCAGGGGAAAGGACGCTGTGGCCTCCCTCTCTTGGGCTGCCGGACGGGGGCATGGTGGGCTTGGGCTTTCAGCCCTGATTGAAATGTGGGAGCAGGGACCCCTCTGCCATCACCGGGAAGGTATTTATTGAGGGCGGCCGGCTCTGCGCTGTGCTTTGCTCCTCCTGCCAGCTCCAGGCACCGAGGCGACGGATTTCCCCAGCGCAGCAATTCAGGAACTTGTCCCCCTGCCCCAGCTCCTCTGCCCCATGGACGGACAGAGAGATGGACACTGCCGGGCCTTGTCACTGGAGGGTGACTCCTGGGGCTGGGCTGCCCCCGGGTCGCAGCAGGATGCTGGGGGGCTGCGGGGCCAGGCAGGCTCCCCCCAGCTTGCCAGAGGCAGTGGGACCCCATGGCAGCCGGCCGTGGGGCGAGGGGCAGCCACGCTCAACCTGTGCCGCCGGGGGCCCGGAGACCACTCCTCCCCGCCTCGCCTGCCAGGTCCGGGCTTCGCTGGGGGGACACGGTGACCTCGGGGCTCCCTCCAGCACCGCTCCTGCCTCGGGTGCTCAGTTCCAGCTTTGTCCTCCCGTGGTGTCAGCTCTCCGTCTGCGGGCTCCGGGACATCCGCAGGGACATCCGCAGGGACATCGTCTTCACTCTGGGGAGAGAGGGGACGGTGACCACCCAGGGGGACCAGCCTTCGGCATCGTCACAGCCAGTGCCCACCCTCAACCCACGGCCCCAGCATGGGAGATGCTCACCTCCAACGATGCTCAGCAGCTCCTCAAGCTCCTGCTGCAGCCGCAGCTGCAGCAGCTCCTGCAGCAGCTCCCGGCGTTGGCTCCGCGGGGCCACCCCCATGCGCTGCAGGGTCCCCTCCGTCAGCCGCAGCAGGGCCCGGCCCGAGACGGCGTGCTCCTGCGCCAGCTCCGCCAGCTCCCCGGCCCCGCTCCGCGCAGCCAGCCAGGCGCCCACCTCCGCCACCGTCCACTGCCCCGCCGGGCGCTGCTCCCGCCGGGCCCCCTCCAACACCTGCGCCGGGAGGAGAGGGGTGAGCTGGGATGTCCCCTCGTCCCTCAGCCTGTCCCTCCAGCCCCATGGAAGCCATAGCGTCAGGCTGGTTCCTTCACGCCGCAGTCGCCCCTACCCACCCCGAACGCGACCCTCGGTCCCATCCCCGCATTGATGCTGGTGGCTGCACCCACGTCCCCTTCCTCCACCGTGGGGGTCCCCCAGCCCCCGGGGCCCAGCCCCAGTTACTTGTGGGGCGTCTCCAGCTCCCGAGCCCCTGCCCACGCTCACCTCAGCCGTCGGGCGTCCCTCCGGCGGCGCCTCAGCCCCGTCCTGCGCCCCGGCATCCATGCAGGGCAGCGGGCAGGGCGCGGGGGCAGCTCAGACTCCCTGCAAACGGGGCTGTGTCAGGCGGGGGTCCTGCAGCTTGCCCCCGGACCAGCCCCCCATGTCCTGCCACCCAAATAACCCCCCCACCACGACAACGCACCCCATCCCGTGCTCCCTGCCCGCCGCTGCCTCCCCGCGGGGGGACATGGGTGGGGGTGGCCATCCTTCCCGATGCCACCTGGTCTGTGCCCCCGGCCCCCCCAGCAGAAGGAGGCTGCTCACCGGGGCGCCAAGCCAAGCGAGGCCCCGCTGCCCGTCCCGCCACGCAGGCGTGCAGAGCCCGCCGCACCCAGGAGATGAGGTCAGCCCCGGCTCGCCCGTGCCCACCGCCTCCATGAGCCTGGGGAGGGGACACCGCACGGCTCCCCCAGCCCAGCCAGGACCCCTTCCCTGGCCTGACCCCCTCCTCCTCACCGCCCTCTGCCCCCGGTCGGTGCCGAACACCAGGAGAGCGAAAGAAACCTTTGCCCCGGCCTTGCCTCTGCGGGCACAGCGCCATGCACGCCCCGACAGCCCGGCTTCCCCTGGCAGGCAGCACCGCCAGGCTGCCAGGGGACTCCTGGCCCTCGCGCGGAGCCAGGGGTCAGACCCAGGCTGGGCCAGAGGAGAGCAGAGCCGGGCTCCGTCCGTACCGAGAGCCGGTGAAGGAGCTCTGCAAAGGCTCCTCCATCTCCCCTCCCGGTTCGCTCCAGCCAGCCCACCCCCTTTGCCCCAGCACCTTCCCCGCAGAGACCGGGATGGGATGCACCGAAGCAGCTTCGTCTACGATGAGGAGGGTGGCGGCGAGGGTCCCGACGGGCGGTGGGAAGGCAGGAGAGGCACTGGCAGAGCAGGCGGGAGGAGCGGGATGAGCCTCAAGGATGAGTCACATCCCGAAGGGCCGCAGCCCTGCCCCGCCGAGCGTGCAGGGACCCAGCCACCGCCTGCAGCAGCCCACGGCGCTGCTCGGCCCCCCGAGACCCCGCAGGGGGATTAAATCCCCCAAATAACAGTGAAAACGATCCCCCGTGGAACAGGCAGGCCAGAACGGTCCCAGGGCTGCCCCAGGACACCAGCACCCGAGCCGTGGAAATATTTCACACCGTTATCAGCTCACCTCCCGGCAAGAGCACAAACGGCACCTTCCCAGCCCCAAAGAGGCCAGCGGCCAGCAGCGTGCACGCTTCAGCTCCCTGCAGCAAGCCCCATCCACAGCTTTTCCCCCCAGCACAGCCACACCAGCCCCCCGGGCTGGCAGCGGGGTGCTCACGGCGCCCCGTCCATCCACCGCTGCAGAAAGGTCCGTGCCCGCGCAGGCAGGACGGGCCGGCTTTGCCTCGTCCACAGGGCGGGCAGCTACGCGTTTTTGTCACGCAGCGCTACGTTACCTTTAAAAACCGTTTAACTCGACACATCCTGCACGGCAGGGTCACGCAGAGTCACCACGCTGACACGGCCGTGGGAACGGGCTCTCGCGCACGGGGGAGCAACGGGAACGGCGGCGATGCCACTTGGAAGTTCGCTGAGCTCTCCGGGACTTCCCTCCGCGGGGAAGCGGGACGCCGAGCACGCTCCCTGTGTTCGAGCGGGAGATGCCAGGGGGGCTCGCACACAAAACCGAAGGGGCCCCCTCTCCCCGGCGGCTCCCCCGTGCACCCGCGGGTCCCATCCCCGCAGAGCAGCAGCGGGGAACGAGATTTCCAACCGGGAATAAACCAGAGCCACCCGCCGTCGCGCCGGGCCCTTCTCTCGGGCGCGCCTCCCCGTCGCGGGGCCGTACAGCAGCTGCTGGCGGGCAGAGGCCGCGTCGTTCGCACCAAGGACTCGAAGGTTTTGGCAGGTTGTTTTAGGAGAATCTCTAGTCCCTGGCAAGCACCACCAGCCATCCTCAGCCTAACAAAACCCGAGGCGAGCGAAGAACGTAATCCAGAACGTTAACCGAAAGGGCAAGGACAACTGCCTCATCTTCCCAAAACCTTGGGGGGGACCCCAAGCCTGCACACCCCAAGTTCATCTTGATTCCGCGTAAGCGTTACGCTGCCCCTATTTCTGAATTTTCAAAGTGCCAGACACTGAAAGCGTGTAACCAAGGCGCCAGAGAAGCAGGAGTTACCCAAAGCACGTATTTTGGTGACTCGCCGGGGCTCTGGAGCTCCAGGCGGGTTCTGGGCAGATTTCCGAGCCGCCGCCCCCCATTTCAGAAAGCAGAGGCCCGGTGCCACCCGAGCGCACAGCCCCACGACAAGCACCACAGAAACCGTCCCCAACACACCTCAGGCGAGGGGAGGGAAAGAAAAAAGCCAGACTATTTTTTTTTTTTTCCTGATTTATTGTGGCTCACATCAATGACACTCATTTGTCGGAAGCAATTTGCTATTCCAGTGCTGTTTGGACACAGGGCAGCAAACCTCCTCCTCCCAAACCAGGTCAGCCGCCTCGGTTTGAACCCGTCTCTGAAAACGGTTGTTACTCCCTGCGAGGACACGTTAACTCACACCTCAGCCCTCCGACCTCCAGTGCTTTACGTTCTCCTTATCGCCAAACGTAATTCTCTGGACGCAGCTCTGGAATCATTCTTCTTCGCCGGGGGGAGAAATCCTGCTTACCGAAGAGTTACAGCAGACATCGGGTTACAAGGGCCCTGGAGAGGCCGAGCGCCACATTAACTTTTATTCTCCTGGAAGTGGAATATTTCCTAGAGCGTGTTCATTAGTTGAAAATTACCAGCTGAGTAGCTAGAAGGTATTTACAAAGGCCACCAAAAATCCTCTCTGAGAAGGACCGTATGCATGTTTTTATTCGTGCATTGAAATGGCATTGCCAGGCACAGGCCGTACGAACACCCGCTCGGCAGCCCCTCGTCCCGCTACTGAGGGTAAAGCTCCACTATCATCGCGTGCCCCTGCAAGGAGAGAGAAAGAACGGTCACCGAAAGGAAACGAAACTCTCGGAACACGGCAGAAATCTCTCCTTCCCTGTTGTACCCTACGGGCAGCGAGGGGCTGCGGTCGCCATTGCCCAGGGACGATTCTGAGATGGGCCCAAGAGCCTCTAAAGCGGACGAGACGGAGGGAGCTCGCTGAACTGAGCTGCGACAAGGAGGCAGCCAGCCAAGCCGGAGGGCGCTGTGTGCTCAGCGCTGGGCCCCCACCCCAAGGCGGCCATGGAGGGGCTGGAGCGTGGCCAGAGCAGGGCAGCGAGGCTGGGGCAGGGGCTGGAGCACAAGGCTGGGGAGGAGCGGCTGGGGGAGCTGGGGGGGCTCAGCCTGGAGAAGAGGAGGCTGAGGGGAGCCCTCATCGCTCTCTGCAACTGCCTGAAAGGAGGCTGGAGCCGGGGGGGTCGGTCTCT